CTATTTTCTCTGTTTGGAACACTCTTTCTCCTCTTAGCCTCTTCTTTCCTTGGCTGGATACTTTTCATTAATTTTTCAGGTCTGAAGTTAAATATCTCTTCTTCAGAGATTTTTAATGATCTAAAATAGACCTCTCTTGTTATTTATTTTCCACTCTGTCCTTTGTTTATATTTTTGTAGCTCCTATTACATGTTGAAGTATTATATTAGTGGCTTGTTGACTAATTTACTTCCTGTCTCCTTGTTAGGTTATAATTTGCTCCATAAAGACTCAGACCAGGTCAATTTTGTTCATCAATGTATACCTGGCACCTAGAAGAATGTGGCCTTAGAACTAGGCATTCCTTAAGTGTTTGGTGCATAAATGAATAAAATACATGCACTCTGTAATTTAGCAAATTGAAACCACTCACGGTTTTTCAACTGACTGCAATCATGTTCTCACATATCTCGAGAATTCCTTCCCCCCACCTACTAACTGTGCTTATAGTCGGAGCCATTTCAATATTTCTCTTCTTTCTTTCTTTTTTTTGAGACAGAGTCTCACTTTGCTCCCCAGGCTAGAGTGAGTGCTGTGGCGTCAGCCTACCTCACATCAACCTCAAACTCCTGGGCTCAAGCAATCCTTCTGCCTCAGCCTCCCAAGTAGCTGGGACTACAGGCATGCACCACCATGCCCAGCTAATTTTTTCTATATATATATATTAGTTGGCCAATTAATTTCTTTCTATTTATAGTAGAGACGGGGTTTCGCTCTTGCTTAGGCTGGTTTTGAACTCCTGACCTTGAGCAATATATTCCTCTTCTTTCATGAATTCTTCCCTATTTTCTCTAAAATGATTTATCATTCCTTCTTATGAACATGTATAAGGACTTTTGCTTCTCTTGGGCCAAATGTGTGCATTTTATGTTTTTTATACTTGTCCTACCTCCATTAAACCCAGAAACCATGCCTGGTTGGTCACATTGCATCTACCATACAACTAGATTATGTTCACCAAGGGTGATTATTCTGTAAAGGCAATGAGTAAATTAATAAAATAATTTTTGAATAGGTTAAAAAGAGAGATTTGTGGTAATAGAATTTAAAGATGGAACCTGAATAAGGCTCTGGAATCTCTTATAGTATGTCTCATATGAGCTTTGTCACCTTTTATTTTTTGTATGCACTCCTAACGTTGTTATCTTTATCACTGTGTCCTTTCTCAGCGAAGCTGTCAAAGCCCAGCTGGGCTGGTCAGCAAGATGTTTGTGTTGCTGTGACATCTTTTCAGCAATGACACTCCCTGTACCTGCCATAACCAAAAAAAAAAAAAAAAAAAATCAGAGTGTTATAGGGAAAGAATGTAAGAATAATAAGAAGCAATTGTTTTTAAGAAGAGTTTTTGCAATATTTGGGAACATCCAAAACAGATAAGATTGTCTGAATTTCTCCCACCACTTCTATATAATTTTTTTATCCCATAAACACTAAACTAAACCCCATATTCCAAAAACTAGAGTTACTAGGAGATATTAGCTTCAGCATTAACAGAAACCTCAAAAAAAGGACTTTAATTAAATAATCCTATAGCAATATGCTGTATACACATGTTTTCAATATAATTCACCCACCACATACTTTACATCTTAAAATCCAATTTATATAACTTAGGTTTCATGAAATAAAAATGGTAGTCACAGTTATTTATAGCACAAGGAAAGTTGTTAACAGTCTAAAATATGACAATGACCTTTACATTATCCCGTAGTACCACCCAGAAAAGGTAATTTATTTCATAGCCTATTGAATATAGAAGCCATTTTCAGATACATCTAGTTTAAGTGGTAAAATTGCAGAAAATTACACATACAACATGATCCCTTTTTTCCCTACTCTGAGAAAATCACCTCAACACCTTCAAATTCTGTAAAATTACTGCTCTTTTAGAATCAATGGTTTCCAAATTTATCATCAGCTGTCAAATTTTGAAACCATTTGTGATTATTTTATGGTTAACACATATTTTGGGGGGCCACCAAATTTAACATAAACTATACGTGGTGTCACACTGGCTGTAAACAAATGCCATACAATAGCATCAATTTAGCCTTATTCTATGGAGGGGAGGGAGGAAAGACAGGTAAGGGAGTGAGAGAAAATACCCCCCATGAAACCATCATTAAAAACAGCCTCAAGGAACACCTGATCCACCACTGACAATTCCCAGCCCTTTACAGGGGTTTTCATCTCTAGATGCTATATTCTCTAATTTATTATTAATAACTATACAATGATATACAGTTTCCTTCATATTTCTTTAGAATTGTGATTTGTGAATTTGATAGGTATTCCATAATTCTGAGTTTGAACAAATCTCCCCACTAATCCTTTACAATTTTCATGACTGTATAAACTTTGATCTTTCCCATTCATCACCATTTGACTTTTCAAACTGGAGTTCAATATTTCTAGTTCATGATTTTGCAGGGTTTAAGGATCTCTATCTCTCCGACCATTTAAATTGCCCTTCCTGTGAACTTCTTAGCTTTCATAGTGCATTAGTTGCTGCCCTTTTTAACTCTGTCAAAGCCAGGTGATTCCTGCTATTTAGAATCTAAGACTGTTAACATGCTGACATTTAAAGATTTATACAGTTTCCAACAGATGCACAAATCAATGAAAAATCACATCAGATCTGAGAAATTATAAACTGAAAGTAATCCAGGGCTCTGTAGCTATGCAGCCTGCTAATATCCACCCTATAGTCTAGCTCATCTGAGTCAAAACACCTGTCTACCTAAAATATCTCTTCTACTTGCCAAATATTGTTTCTGAAATTCCCAATGTTATAACCATTCCTTGAAATGCAAACAATTTGCCTATCTAGGAGAGATAGCCTGTTAATACATTGTGATCTGATTAGAGGACAATATATCCTTCAAACTAGAGAGACTGATATGGGCAGGTAGAATTTGATGGGGGTGGGGGATAAGAGTGTCAAGGAATATCTGAGTTTAAGAAAATATTTGCAAAAGTAAGTCTAGATGACATTTCTCAAGAGATAATGCATAGTCAGCTGCAAGCATCCAGCAAACAGAGCCTCAAAGGTGGTCACCTAAAAAGGGGAAAAAAAATTATAGCAGCAGATTGAGGGTTGAGAAGTAGGTTGAAAATTAGCCCAAAATAAAAATTTCCACTTAATTCAAATGTCATAGTTGTATTAGAGACAAATTATAATCTGCAAAATAAACATTAAGTATAAGTAGCTGCATAAATACAAATGATAGTTTAATCTTGATGGTTAACTCTTATGAACTGATAACATTAAAATACTGACAAGGTATATCTTTGATTTAAAAATCATACAAATGAATTCTTCAGAAAAATACTTGTTAAAAATTAGACATTATTAAACAAAACTATGCAAATTAAGAATAAATGACATTTTTACCTATCAAAATAGCAAAAATTAAAAAATGTAATCCTGATAACATCCTAGGCCACAAAACACATCTCAACAATTTTTAAAAAATAGAAATTATACCATGTATCTTCTCAGGCCATGGTGGAATAAATTAGAAATCAATTCCAACAGAAATACTCATCTCTACACAAAGTCATGCAAATTAAACAACCTGTTGCTGAATGATTGATTGTTGGGTCAAAGAGGAGATTCAGATGGAAATCAAAAGATCCTTTGAACTAAATGATAATGGGGACACAGGTTATCAAAATTGTGAGATACAGAAAAAGCAGTCCTGAGAGGAAAACTCATATCTTTAAATGCCTACATCCAAAAGACAGAAAGATCAGAAATCAGCAATCTAATGAATCATCTCAAGGAACTGAAAAAGAGCAAACCAATCCTAAACTCAGCAGAAGAAAAGACATAACCAATACCAGAGCAGAACTAAATGAAACCAAGAACAAAAGAACTATACAGAAGATTAATGAAACAAAAAGTTGGTTCTTTGAAAAGATAAACAAAATTGACAAGCCTCTTGCTATACTGACTGACCAGAATCAAAAAGGAAAGCTTATTAAAGCTCAATCAAAAATTGAGCTTTAATAAGCTCAATTAGAAATGAAAAATGAGAAGTCACAACTGATATCATGGAAATACAAAACATCATCTTTGAATATTATGAAAATCTCTATGCCCATAAACTTGAAAACATGAAGGAAATGGATAAATTCTTAGAAACACATAATCTCACTAGGCTCAATCAGGAAGAAATAGAAATCCTGAAAAGTCCAATATCAAGCACAGAAATTGTAGCATCAATAAAAAATCTTCCAAAAGAAAAGTCCCGGAGCAGGTGGTTTTCACACCCGAAATTTCCCAGACCTACAAAGAAGAACTGGGACCTCTACTGCAGAAATTATTACATAACATTAAGATTAAACAATGTAATCCTAAATGCAGCAGCAATACAGCTAGTAGAAATATAAACTGGCATAAACTTCCTGGTAAATACTTTGGCAATATGTACCAAGGCCCTAAGTAATATCATATTCTCAGAGGAGAATCCATTTTTAGAAATATCTTCTTAGGAAATAAACAAAGAGGCAAAAAAAGGATTTGTTACCAGCATTATTTGTAGCAAGAAAAACTAAAAAAATAGATATAGTTATATAGACATATTTAAATGGTTAGATAAATTATGATTGAAATATAAAAAGAATACAATATAACTATTAGAAATCATCTTTATAAATATATGATGATATGGGAAAATATAATAGCTATGAATCTTAAAAAGAAAAGGATGGAAGGAAATATTAAATCTCATATGAGATTTTTTTTCTGGGAAATAAAATTATACTTGATTTGTTTGCACTTTCTCTTTTATACTTTTCTGTATTTTCCACAAAATCATATAGTTTTAATATATGAGGGGGGAGGGTAAGTACCAGTTTAAGACAAATAAGACTCTAGAAGTGAACTTCTTACGCCTTACTGATAATTACTAAGTATGTTCAATAAAGTAGAATCCTGGCGCTCCTGACCCCGCGCCGCCGCCGCCGCGCCGCGGCCCACGGGCAGAGTCGGCCCGGCGGGCTGGCATTAAACTGAAGAAAAGATGTCCCTGTACGATGACCTGGGAGTGGAGGCCAGTGACTCGAAAACAGAAGGCTGGTCCAAAAACTTCAAACTCCTGCAGTCTCAGCTCCAGGTGAAGAAGGCGGCTCTCACGCAAGCCGAGAGCCAAAGGACAAAGCAAAGTACAGTTGTTCTTGCCCCAGTCACTGACCTAAAGCGAGGCGGCTCCTCAGACGACCGGCAGCTTGTGGACTCACCACCGCATGTCGCCGCTGGGCTGAAGGGTCCTGTTCCCAGTGGGTTTTCTGCAGGGGAAGTTCTGGTTCCTCTAGCTGGCGAATATGATCCTATGTTTCCTAACGATTGCGAGGAAGTAGTGAAGCGCCAAAGAGAGGAACGACAGAGACGGCGGGAGCTGGAAAGACAAAAGGAAATAGAAGAAAGGGAAAAGAGGCGTAAGGACAGACACGAAGGCAGTGGGTTTTCAAGACGACCAGATCCAGATTCTGACGAAGATGAAGACTATGAGCGAGAGAGGAGGAAAAGAAGTATGCGGGGAGCTGCCATCGCCCCACCTACTGGTCTGGTGGAGAGAGATAAAGAGTTACCTCGAGACTTCCCCTATGAAGAGGACTCAAGACCTCGGTCACAGTCTTCCAAAGCTGCTATCCCTCCCCCATCAGACGAGGAACGGGACAGACCGAGATCTCCAACTGGGCCTAGCAACTCCTTCCTCGCTAACATGGGGGGCACGGTGGCACTTAAGATCATGCAGAAGTACGGCTTCCGGGAGGGCCAGGGCCTGGGGAAGCACGAGCAGGGCCTGAGCACCGCCCTGTCGGTGGAGAAGACCAGCAAGCGTGGCGGCAAGATCACTGTAGGTGACGCGACGGAGAGAGGTGACTCCCCAGGGAAGTGCGATGCAACTAAGAAGTCGGATTCAAATCCATTAACTGAAATACTTAAGTGTCCTACTAACGTGGTCCTATTGAGGAACATGGTTGGTGCAGGAGAGGTGGATGAAGACTTGGAAGTTGAAACCAAGGAAGAATGTGAAAAATATGGCAAAGTTGGAAAATGTGTGATATTTGAAATCCCTGGGGCCCCAGAGGATGAAGCAGGGCAGATATTTTTAGAATTCGAGAAGGTAGAGTCAGTGATGAAAGCTGTTGTTGATCTGAATGGGAGGGAAATTGGTGGACGGGTGGTAAAAGCATGTTTCTACAATTTGGATAAATTCAGGGTCTTGGATTTGGCGGAACAAGTTTGATTTTAAGAACTAGAGCACGAGTCATCTCCAGTGATCCTTAAATGAGCTGCAGGCTGAGCGAAGGCGGAGAGAGGCCACAGCCTCCGTGGCTGTTGGATACTGAGACTCTTGGAGGGACTTCTAAGATATACGTTGATGGGACCCTTTTTTATTTTGTGGTTTTTTAATATAGTGTAAAAATCCTTTAAAAAAAACAAAAAACAAAAAAAATAAAAAATAAAAATAAATAAAGTAGAATCCTGATGGAAAACCGAAAACAAGGCACATGAAGACAGTGTCAGTGTACAACTCTTCTCCACAGCCTTTAAGTCACCTGAAACACAATTGCTTCAATTACCTAATTTTACTATCTTATAATGTTGAATGCTGAATGTATGAATTCTAAGAGACATGTCTCTCTTAGAAAACAAAAAATTCAAAGAATATTAGCTAGCATTTATTAAACACTAAATGTTTTACCTGTATTAATTTATCCTCACAATCCTATTTCTACAGAAGAGGAAACTGAGTGCCAAAGAAGCTAAACACACATGGTTACCAATAAATAATAAATAGCACATAGCTATCAAGCAACAGAACCAAAATGGAAACCCGGGTAGTTAGGCTTCAGGGCACATGCTTTGTATTCACTAACCTAGTCCACATCTCTGGCAGGATCAGACCCCCTGAAGCTTCTGAATTATTAGTCCTTCATTTTGATGGAATCTGTAATTGCAATGGGCGGCGATTTATTTTTGACTTACTTATTTTTCTGTGGCAAAATCCGGCAAGGCTACGCATTACCTGTTCCCTGGTTCCTGAGATAATCATTTAGCCCATATCACTTCCATCAGAAGTATACAAGTAAGGGAGTATGGGGAGGAGGTAGAAAAGAGACACAAAAGGAAGATATTATTATTAGCTAGTTTTTCAAGTAGTTTTAGGTGATTGCAGCAGTAAGTTTTTTCCTTGAGTTTGCAGACAGATAAGGGTGATTGGCTTCTCTGTGAGACCATGCAGAAAGATAAGACAGAAGATTGCTTGTATATCATCACCTAGTCTAAGGGCAAGAGTCTAGGATTCAGAGTGTAGCTAAAATTTTAATAAAACTCATATTCCTTGGGTATCTTCAATGTTATGGTTAGTTTACAATTTTTGAATTCTAAAACCATCTGGTTTACTTTGTCTTCCAACTGGACAAAACAAAACTTTCCTATAACCAAGAATCTGCCATTTTATGGCTTTATAAAAATTTAGTTGTCAACAAATTCTCCATCAAAGGCTCTCCTCAACCATTCTATTGTATGTCTAAATAAATCAGAAGAGCATTCTACTTCAAATAAAAAGCAGATTGAATATATAATAAATTCCTTCTTTTATGACAATTTTCCCTGGAGCTGTGTTTATTAATACCACTGAGATACTGCAAACTTTTGTTGCAAGATCAAAAAATAGGAGAGTTGATACAATGACCATATAAAGCTTTTTCTCCCTTGTTTGAACTTAAAGGAAAGAATGTTGTGATATTTAAAAAGTAAAATAAGAGAGTTGGGACAACTGGCTAATCAATTATTTAAGAGAAAGATCATAGTGTCCTTTCTGCATGCCTTTCAAAACAGAAGAAAAATGAAGAAAAAAAAACAAGCAAATAAAATTCTAATTGGATTTAAGATATAAATTGAAAAAAGAAAACCACAAAAAATAAAAAAATATGGGCACATTATTTTATAATCTTGAGATAGAGACGGCTTTCCTAAGTATTATACCAACCCAGAAACCATAGAAAAGATTATTTTACTACAAATAAAAATTTTATATTATAACAAAATCAACTACAAAGAACAAACTAGAAAAAATAATATTTTAAATACCTTTTTAAGACCACTTAACAGTACAATTGGGAAAAGTAGGATGGAGGAAACTGACTTTAACATTTTACTATTAACCTTTTGAAATTAAAATAATTTTTACAGCAAGCAGGTATTTTTCTTAAAATTCAGAAGGAAGGAGAAAAGAAGTAAAAAAGAAAAGAAGTGTAGAAAAAGAAATTTTGAAAAATACCATATTTTCCATAACTATTAAGCTTGTCATAGTCGAATACCCTCAGCCTAATGTCCTGAGAGGACAAGATGATTTCCAGGTGCAACTATATCTGAAGACAATCAGCAGTCACCAAATTTGGTACTATTGATATTCAGAAGTTAGATACATGTTAGTTTTTAGAATTTAAACTGGGAACCAAACATTTTTACTTTTTCTGCTAGTCAAAATTTATCTCAAATCTCTGTCATAAAGATGCCTTGGCATAAGCTATAGCAATTTGGAGTTACATAGAGTAAATCAGCTCCCTTCAATTTGTAAACTAAAGTTTCCCCATAACAGTGTCTTTTTTTTCTATTTTGGAGAAATTAATCTCAGATCACACCTCTCTGAAAAACTGTTGAATTATAGATTCCAGAATCAATGTTGAAAAGGCAACAAATACCTGAAAGGATTAAATTTCATATAGACCTACAGAATTTGTAATCTCAGATCAGATCATAGTCTGAATATTGTAAACAGAGTATATCAATTACAAAGACTGCTTCACAAGGAAGCATAAAGATATCAGTTATAATAACAAAAGTCATTCTTTTAAAAATTTTCCTCTTCTTCTCTACCTACTTTTTCTACTATTGTTATGAATAGACAATATATGCTTTCAAAACAAACAACAAAAGGGGGACACCCAGCTTTACAAATGATTTTTCAAGTTCGTGAATTTATCTTAACTCTTACAAAAGGTATAAAAATCGATTTATATTTTTATGCACATAAAACTTATATTTATTTTTAAAGTATAATTATATGAAACCAAGACTATTTTGGATAATCCAGGATCTGTGGGCCACAGATCAATTATTTCTTTCTTGGGTTAAGTAAGTACATATTAATACTTTAATTTTCAACTTTACCATGGGACATTTCATGTTCAAAGTAGATATAAGAGGGATTAAGAGAAAAAGTCTGAGAATTAGTTTAGCTATGTAAATAAGCCAGTTTTAAAGGGCTAATTTTATAATATTGCTTCATCATCAAATTTTGGTTACACTGAAACAAGATTTCTAACTAAAGTGGCTTTACTATCTTAAAATGTATCCCAATGACAAGTATCTAGTATCTGCACTTCTTTTCTGGAAGGAGTGATAAAGATTGTTGATGAGCGCCTTATTTAGAAAAACAAGAAAATTTAGTTCAATTCAAACAAGAAAACTTAGATTAAAAGCTAAAATAGTCTATCCCTTGACATGGCAGCTGATCAAATCTAAGAATTTGGTTGGAATTGTTTTTTCCACCCTGTTGGAAAGTGTCTAACATTGTAACTGACACATCCTTTGAACTCTTGCCCAGAATTGCATTGCTAAAAAAAAAAAAAAAAAAAAAAAAAAAATTTTTTTCCTTGGAGACCATACAACATGTTGAGATTTTTTTGTAAGGGAATGTAGACCAGAGTGTGTTGATCACCTTACATATAAAAGTGTTGACACCAGGAAAAAGCCATCAAATGATGCAAACTTTCTGACACTGGTGAAAGCCATCAGCCCAATCACATGTTTAAACTGACTGATTAAATACGTCAAGATCTTTTGTCTGTTTATGTTTAGAGTCACAAATTTAGACCAACCAAATACCGTATTTCATAATTCATTGATAATTTAGTATAATTAAAAATAATATTGAGAACTTTGGTAGGAAATTATTCCTCTCCTGGAGAAGTTTTGACGGTGTAACCCACAGGCATTCTAACTTTCCTCAGCTGTCCTGATGTGGATCCATGAAGGGGGAAAGGTATTTTCAGGGATGTCCCTGTACATAGAGTTATCCTCAGTCTTGATGCTTCTCTAGATTAACTTAGTCCAGTTTTCCAAATTAATGTATTTCATTCTAACCATAAACATTTCCCCCCCTTTCAAGTTGGCCATATTAGTCCCTTCAACTGAATAATGGCTAATTGTACTTATGGCATATCCCTCCTAAAATATAAAAACATTTGACTCTCAGGTTAGGGTAGGTTTGCTATAAAAGTATATGCATATTTGCTCTGAAAAATTGCTGGTAATGGATTTTCAAGACAGTATATTTTTCTCACCACAAAAAAATGATAAGTATGTGAAGTAATGCACATGTTAATTAGCTTGATTTAGCCATTCCATAATAAAATTTGAAATATATATGCATTTTAAAACATCACATTGTATACCATAAATATATAAATTGTCAATTAAAAACATAAATAATAATAAAGATAAAATTCAATCCTAATAGTGTAATGAAAAAAGACGTTTTTGTGTTGAGGGATGGAAGGAGGCTTCAAACTACATGTTCCTGCATTTTAGGGGAGAAGAGAGCCATTTATTGTTCATCAGACATCTGATATGGATTATTTCACATAATCCTCACAACAGTGTTAGAGGTAGAAATTTTAGTCCAGTGTTATAGTGTGAAAAAAAAAAAAGATGGAAATGAAAGAGGTAAATAGCCTGCCTGAGGAATTTGGGGATCCAAACACAGGTCTTTATTGCTAAAAAGGCTTTTTTATTGTTATTATACCACATGGCTGGGAAATTAAACAGCAGGTATAAATGTATGTATTTTGAAACCATGCCCCATGAGGATATAAAGCACAGGTAATGAAGACTGTCCTGATCAAGAAAACAAATGCTGAGTTTATTTTCTTGCTTAGGCAAGGAAACAGGACATCCCCAGGAGTAAAGAAATTCTTTAAGTAGGTCATTTGAAAGAAGATAACAGAATGGGTATATGCTAGAAATGGGAGAGAAATTCATGGGCCCAATGTTAATTAAGGACTCAAAGTTTGCCCCATGGATGAGATGAAATGGGTCCAGAAATCTGTGCACTGTTGGTTAAAATAATTCCATTGTACGTGGGTCCAGAAAGAGTCTTCAGTTAGGTTCAGTAAAGATGGAAGTTTCTGCAGTGGGAAACTTAAAGTCCATGATCATTTAACAGCATCAGGTAGTTAGAACTTGTGGTAAAATGCAGTACAGTATTCAGTTTTTTCACTTTGTTGTTATTGTTTTTATTTTTATTGTAAATTGAAAAATTATAGGTGTATATGTTTATGGAGTACAAAGTGGCATTATGATTTATGACCAGAGAGTAGAACAGTGGTTACTAGAGGCTGAGA